CCGATCTTGTTCTGTGAGAGATCTTGTTCAACATCTATGTTCTGTGAGAGATTTAGACGAGAAGTACCCAAAGCACAAGCGTTTACCCCGATCTTGTTCAACATCTATGTTCTGTGAGAGATTTAGACGAGAAGTCCCCAAAGCACAAGCGTGTACCCCGATCTTGTTCAACATCTATATGCTCTGCGACAGATGTGGGGAAGGCCTGGAAACATATATGCGCTTGCCCCGATCTTGTTCAACATCTATGTTCTGTGAGAGATTTAGACGAGAAGTCCCCAAAGCACAAGCGTTTACCCCGATCTTGTTCAACATCTATGTTCTGTGAGAGATTTAGACGAGAAGTCCCCAAAGCACAAGCGTGTACCCCGATCTTGTTCAACATCGATATGCTCTGCGACAGATGTGGGGAAGGCCTGGAAACATGTGCGCTTCCCTCGATCTTGTTCAACATCTATGTTCTGTGAGAGATTTAGACGAGAAGTCCCCAAAGCACAAGCGTTTTCCCCGATCTTGTTCAACATCTATGTTCTGTGAGAGATTTAGACGAGAAGTCCCCAAAGCACAAGCGTTTACCCCGATCGTGTTCAACTTCTATGTTCTGTGAGAGATTTAGACGAGAAGTCCCCAAAGCACAAGCGTTTACCCCGATCTTGTTCAACATCTGTGTTCTGTGAGAGATTTAGACGAGAAGTCCCCAAAGCACAAGCGTTTACCCCGATCTTGTTCAACATCATGTTCTGTGAGAGATTTAGGACGAGAAGTCCAAAAGCACAAGCGTTTACCCCGATCTTGTTCAACATCTATGTGCTGGAGAGATTTTAGAGGAGGAATGTCCCCCAAGCACAAGATGTCCCCGATCTGTTCAACATCTATGTTCTGGGAGAGATTAGACGAGAAGTTCCCCAAAGCACAAGGTTTACCCCGATCTTGTTCAACATTCTATGTTCTGTGAGCAGCTTTCGACGAGAAGTCCCAACAGCACAAGCGTTTACCCCGATCTTGTTCAACATCTATGTTCTTTGAGAGATTTAGACGAGAAGTCCCCAAAGCACAAGTGTTTACCCCGATCTTGTTCAACATCTATGTTCTGTGAGAGATTTAGACGAGAAGTCCCCAAAGCACAAGCGTTTACCCCGATCTTGTGTGAGAGATTTAGACGAGAAGTCCCCAAAGCACAAGCGTTTACCCCGATCTTGTTCAACATCTATGTTCTGTGAGAGATTTAGAGGAGAAGTCCCCAACGCACAAGCATTTACCCCGATCTTGTTCAACATCTATGTTCTGTGAGAGATTTAGACGAGAAGTCCCCAAAGCACAAGCGTTTACCCCGATCTTGTTCAACATCTATGTTCTGTGAGAGATTTAGACGAGAAGTCGCCAAAGCACAAGCGTTTACCCCGATCTTGTTCAACATCTATGTTCTGTGAGAGATTTAGACGAGAAGTCCCCAAAGCACAAGCGTTTACCCCGATCTTGTTCAACATCTATGTTCTGTGAGAGATTTAGACGAGAAGTCCCCAAAGCACAGGCATTTACCCCGATCTTGTGCAACATCTATGTTCTGTGAGAGATTTAGACGAGAAGTCCCCAAAGCACAAGCGTTTACCCCGATCTTGTTCAACATCTATGTTCTGTGAGAGATTTAGACGAGAAGTCCCCAAAGCACAAGCGTTTACCCCGATCTTGTTCAACATCTATGTTCTGTGAGAGATTTAGACGAGAAGTCCCGAAAACACAAGCGTTTACCCCGATCTTGTTCAACATCTGTATGCTCTGCGACAGATGTGGGGAAGGCCTGGAAACATGTGCGCTTGCCCCGATCTTGTTCAACATCTATGTTCTGTGAGAGATTTAGACGAGAAGTCCCCAAAGCACAAGCGTTTACCCCGATCTTGTTCAACATCTATGTTCTGTGAGAGATTTAGACGAGAAGTCCCCAAAGCACAGGCATTTACCCCGATCTTGTGCAACATCTATGTTCTGTGAGAGATTTAGACGAGAAGTCCCCAAAGCACAAGCGTTTACCCCGATCTTGTTCAACATCTATGTTCTGTGAGAGATTTAGAGGAGAAGTCCCCAAAGCACAAGCGTTTACCCCGATCTTGTTCAACATCTATGTTCTGTGAGAGATTTAGACGAGAAGTCCCCAAAGCACAAGCGTTTACCCCGATCTTGTTCAACATCTATGTTCTGTGAGAGATTTAGACGAGAAGTCCCCAAAGCACAAGCGTTTACCCCGATCTTGTTCAACATCTATGTTCTGTGAGAGATTTAGACGAGAAGTCCCCAAAGCACAAGCGTTTACCCCGATCTTGTTCAACATCTATGTTCTGTGAGAGATTTAGACGAGAAGTCCCCAAAGCACCAGCGTTTACCCCGATCTTGTTCAACATCTATGTTCTGTGAGAGATTTAGACGAGAAGTCCCCAAAACACAAGCGTTTACCCCGATCTTGTTCAACATCTATGTTCTGTGAGAGATTTAGACGAGAAGTCGCCAAAGCACAAGCGTTTACCCCCATCTTGTTCAACATCTATGTTCTGTGAGAGATTTAGACGAGAGGTCACCAAAGCACAAGCGTTTACCCCGATCTTGTTCAACATCTATGTTCTGTGAGAGATTTAGACGAGAAGTCCCCAAAGCACGAGCGTTTACCCCGATCTTGTTCAACATCTATGTTCTGTGAGAGATTTAGACGAGAAGTCCCCAAAGCACAAGCGTTTACCCCGATCTTGTTCAACATCTATGTTCTGTGAGAGATTTAGACGAGAAGTCCCCAAAGCACAAGCGTTTACCCCGATCTTGTTCAACATCTATGTTCTGTGAGAGATTTAGACGAGAAGTCCCCAAAACACAAGGGTGTTATACCGATCTTGTTGGACATCTATGTTCTGTGAGAGATTTAGACGAGAAGTCCCCAAAGCACAAGCGTTTACCCCGATCTTGTTCAACATCTATGTTCTGTGAGAGATTTAGACGAGAAGTCCCCAAAGCACAAGCGTTTACCCCGATCTTGTTCAACATCTATGTCCTGTGAGAGATTTAGACGAGAAGTCCCCAAAGCACAAGCGTTTACCCCGATCTTGTTCAACATCCATGTTCTGTGAGAGATTTAGACGAGAAGTCCCCAAAGCACAAGCGTTTACCCCGATCTTGTTCAACATCTATGTTCTGTGAGAGATTTGGACGAGAAGTCCCCAAAGCATAAGCGTTTACCCCGATCTTGTTCAACATCTATGTTCTGTGAGAGATTTAGACGAGAAGTCCCCAAAGCACAAGCGTTTATATACCCCGATCTTGTTCAACATCTATGTTCTGTGAGAGATTTAGACGAGAAGTCGCCAAAGCACAAGCGTTTACCCCGATCTTGTTCAACATCTATGTTCTGTGAGAGATTTAGACGAGAAGTCCCCAAAGCACAAGCGTTTACCCCGATCTTGTTCAACATCTATGTTCTGTGAGAGATTTAGACGAGAAGTCCCCAAAGCACAAGCGTTTACCCCGATCTTGTTCAACATCTATGTTCTGTGAGAGATTTAGACGAGAAGTCCCCAAAGCACAAGCGTTTACCCCGATCTTGTTCAACATCTATGTTCTGTGAGAGATTTAGACGAGAAGTCCCCAAAGCACAAGCGTTTACCCCGATCTTGTTCAACATCTATGTTCTGTGAGAGATTTAGACGAGAAGTCCCCAAAGCACAAGCGTTTACCCCGATCTTGTTCAACATCTATGTTCTGTGAGAGATTTAGACGAGAAGTCCCCAAAGCACAAGCGTTTACCCCGATCTTGTTCAACATCTATGTTTTGTGAGAGATTTAGACGAGAAGTCCCCAAAGCACAAGCGTTTACCCCGATCTTGTTCAACATCTATGTTCTGTGAGAGATTTAGACGAGAAGTCCCAAAAACACAAGGGTGTTATACCGATCTTGTTGGACATCTCTATGTTCTGTGAGAGATTTAGACGAGAAGTCCCCAAAGCACAAGCGTTTACCAAGATCTTGTTCAACATCTATGTTCTGTGAGAGATTTAGACGAGAAGTCCCCAAAACACAAGGGTGTTATACCGATCTTGTTGGACATCTCTATGTTCTGTGAGAGATTTAGGTCTTACCCAAAGCAAATTTATATGTGCTGCGAGAGATTTGGAGAAGGCCCCAACACGCAAGCGTTTACGCTGATCTTATTTCTCTTACCCCGATCTTTTCCGACTTCTATGCGCCGTCAGAGTGCCACGAGAGAGAGAAACTTAGAGAAGGCCCCGAAACACAAGCAAGCACCGCGATCTTGTTCAACATCTATAAGTGTTGGGAGGGATGTAGAGAAGGCCTCAATGCAAAGCAGTTTACCCCGATCTTGCGAGGGATTTAGAGAACGCCTCAGAGCAACAGCGTTTACCCCGATCTGGTTCGACATCGTGGGAGATTTAGAGAAGGCTTCAAAGCGTTAGTAGTTACCCCGATCTTGTTCGCCGTCTATGTGCTGCGATAGATTTAGAGCAAAACAAACCAATCTCTCGCGAAGATTTGGCAACCCATGCCGCAAAGCAAGAAAGTGTGAAGCAAGCATCCCACAAAATTGCGGCGAGAGCATGTCGCAAAATTTCGCAACCCACGAAATGTGAGGAATGGTGGGGCGGTCGTAGGGGTGCTGAACTGAGGCCTGAAAGAAGGAGCCTTCAGTCACCAAGCCGAAGCGACAAGTAAAGTGCCCACACCAGAAAAGGTTTGCTTCAAAGGCCACTCCTAACTCCCGTTGTAGTCTGGCCCAGACCCTAAACTCTCAAACATGTTCGAATTATTCATGGCCGTTTCACATTATCAAGGCTTTCATCTGAAGCTTTGACAGCCATAGCAGACTTCTGGTATCGTTGAAACACCCCCCAACGACGGAGAAGACAACACCTGATATTTTGGAGCCTTAACTCCGGACGCCCAAGCCCTAGTGCTCTCTGTCTCTGTATGCTGAAAGCACAAATGCTGAATTTCTACATGTGAGGTTTCTTTACAAGTCCGGGAATCGCGGCTTGGCGACAGAAGTCGGACCGCGAGGAGGACGGCTATCTGGAGGCCACAGTCTGCACCAGGTCTTAAGGTGTCATATCGGGACTATTGCTCAGGTTCCTTCATGTAGCTATGCTATATTGTGACTGACTACTACAGTATACCCCAAAGCCCTTCTCGAACTATTCAGGCCTCCATCGTAGAGTGATTGAAAGCATGAGGTATTCTAAAACAGACTGTCCGTTCCGGCTATGAAATTCCTATCAACGCCTGGACAGTAAGTTCTGCGTATACAGCCGTGGAGGCCAGAAACAGCGAGTGGCCATCTGCCGCGCACTAATCCGTGCCCCGGCCGCTTGTGGTTGCAGAATTGTCGTTATAACTTCTGAGGTTTAGGTAGCAGGTAGCACCCTCGGTGCTATTGTTCATGCTCCTGTTCTTGTTGTTGCTGGTTACAACCATGGAACATACGACTATGGCAGTACCGTGAAGGGTTATCGGGGATTCGAACTGCAGTGTCAGAGCCCTGGGTTGCGGACAGATTTTGGGTCCACCCCATGCTCATTTGGCAGCTTGAACCTCCAAAGCGATTTCGTGTGGGGCCTCCTTCTTCCGTGTTCGTAGAGACAGATCTCTGTTCCAAGGCGATTTCGTTTCACCTTCTTCTTCTTCTTTCATGTTGGAACTTTCTGGTTTCCAGTTTTACCTTTCCCTCCCAAAGTGCACCTTCTCCTTGTGCTTTGATCGCTTTTGAATTCCCGAAAGCAAATTCGTGTGGGCTTCTCGGGTTACTACTGACTGCAACGCTCGGGGGGCATAACGTGGCCACTTCTTTTGGCACATGGCCGTTGAGACCCCTATGGTGGCAGGAACGCAAAATCCCCGAAACCGCGACCCAGGCAATCCTGCCGTGATGCTCCTGGATGAGGCCGACATCAACATAAACAAACCCGCAATCCCAATGAAACCCGGCACCTGAGCCTTAAATCCTCAGCCAGAAGCCTCCAGTGTGGAACCTGTGCTCGGAATCCCAATCCCGTAAACTCCTACTCCCCGGCCGGAGTCCTCGAACCCTGCATCATATAGACCGGTAGCCGCAAACCTAGCGAATTGCTGCGAAATCTCAAAACTTCCACAGTCTACAAAACTTCGGGCTGGAAGTGCTCAAGGTCGACGCCGATTCCCGAATCCTAAGACGTCATCCCTGTGAATCTTATCAGAAGTAATCCTCAATTGTGAAGATACTTGAGGCCGCAAGCCTGAAGCTGCACACTGCACACCCTCATTCGCATGCTTCCACGGTATTTTAGCCGGAGAGCCGAAACCCCCAAAACCCCGCAGCATCCACTCCGAACCGATGCCTCGTATCCGCAGCCCCAGACGCCGCCTGCGCCCCGCACTGAAGCCTCCAAAACACGCACGGAGAGGCCACCAGTGCGCTGGACTCCCAGAGTGAACAGATCGTGCAGAAAGCCCTGGAGGCTTCAATGGGCTCGAGGTTGTGGGTGTTTTAGGAATCAGAAAAAAAGGTTTGGGGCTTAAGAATCCGGGTCTGCATACGTTTATAGTCTCTACTGCAGGGTTCCTGTCAAGGTCGACGGTTTCAAGTTCTGTGTTGCGCGTCTTGGGCTTGTATTGTAGCAGACTCGGAAATCCACGGTTGGAGGTCAACTACGAAAAGCTCACTGTCTAGGCTTCGGGTGCATCGTGTAGCGGCTGCCTAGAACCTCCGACAAAATCTTGCTCACTCTCAACCTCCAATCCCCAGTTGCAACACTTGTGACAGGCTTTAGGTTGTGAACCTTCGAAGATTGTTGTTCAGCCTTTCTTGGGCATTTGTTTCTGTGCTGGCATCGCATCATATCGCATTGAGCAAGGAGAGCTTCGGTGTTTGGGGGTTGCTTTGGCAACTGCTATAGGTTTGTTTCGGATTTGCGGTCGTCGGGTAGCAGGGTTGCGAGGTGTTCGGTAGGCCTGATGATGTTGCATTGAATTGATGAATTTTGCAGTTCATGGGCTTGCAGACTTGGTGCCATCAGGCAGCTCGTGACGGGCGCACGTCCTTCGCCATCGCCCACCGACTTTCGACGATCGCCGGCTGCGACGTCATTCTGGTGAACGCTGATGGTCGTGTTGTTGAGTCGGGCACACACGACGAGCTTATGGCACACAAGGGAGTCTACTATAAGCTGCAGATGCAGTCAAGGAAGTAGGAGAAGAGTGAGAGGAGCCCTCTCCTTATGGAACGGCGCTCGGCTCCTGGTAGCAAGGGCAAACCACGAAGGAAAGTCCAGATTCAGAACCTTGTTAGTGAAAGCGCTGCGCAGATACCTGGTGGTTTGTTTGGAGACCTTCCGGCTCGGAAGGCCCAGGTTTCACCTTCTGTTGTTTTGGTTCGTCTTCCGGCTAGGAGGAGTCCCTGATGCTACTTCCCGTGAAGCCCCTCGGGTGCAAAGCCCAGGTGGGCCGCGATGGAGGTAGTCTGCAACAGGTTTGTGAGTGTTCTGTTCTTCGCCACTCTTGCGGTGTCAGCGCACAATGGTGCGCGACTCCTCTTCGAACACCTCTCGGACGATCTGCCTAGCGTTTACCGTCCAGAGAGGACCCTGTCTCAGTGAGGGCGAGATGCTCCACCAGGGCAGAAGCGAACTTCCCTTGTCAGCTGGCAGTTTAGCAGACACCCCTGTCCTACTTGGTCAGATACGAATGTGTGCATCGCCCAACCATGCCTGAGGCCCACTTCTCGGGACAATGCTTGTTGAGCTGCCGAATCTGTGTCAGTCCTCAACTGACCCTGTCGGGCTCACATCGCCGGCAAAGATGCGCGCAGATTTTCGGCATGTCCAGGTTGCAGGCTGAACAGGACGTAGGCTCCGATGGCTGCACAACAATAACTTTAACAGGTTAATGGCATCAGCGGCTTGAAACTTATCCTCTGCATGGCTATTCAGATTTGTAAAACGAGGGTTAAAAAGCTCATGATCCCTGAGTTTTCAACCCCGATGAATCAACATGTCACACCTGCGACTGGCAAGTGTGCAGAGAAACAGGGGTTTCTGCACACTTAGAAAGCGCTTTGTTATCTGCAGTCCAGTTCTCGATCCTTAGGGCGACTTGGATTGCACCGGCAAGCGGGATGGCCTACCTGCGTATCATAGAGACAACGATGACATACGACCAAGGTTGGCGGAGGTTGTGAAGCTGCTGGATGCGTTGAGCAGCGAGACTGCGACCTGCAAAGTTTAGGGTGTGGGGTTTTGTGCTTTACAGTTTGCGTCAGATTATTGACTCCTAGGCCCGAGCCTTCAAGCTGCTACCCACAAGGCATGCAGCATGTATGTCTGGATCTGCTCCAGCATATCTTGGGGATCCGTGACTCGTATAATGTTGTGGAAGTAGGGATGGTACTGGGTCACCGTATGTAGAACAGCATCATAATGCCATTCGATACTCACCCAACCATACTTGCAAAGCTCTAAACTTTCAACCCGAATCCGTAAAGCAAGTCCTGAGCACATACACCACCGAAACCTGGGTGGTCCGCATGAACCTCACACAATTGATAAAACAAACTAAAGACTGCAAACCCTGTGGGCAAAACCCTGTTAGGCAGACGGCTCAAGAAGAGCCGGTGCTTGCTTTTTCATCGGGAAGCTGTGCTCGTGGCGAAGGTCAGAACAAAAAGATGTCGAAGTTCACACTTGCATACTAAACATGATCTATACGTGCCTTCTCATGCAAACCACTGGCAACGGCAATGCTGTAACAGAATGCTGCCTTTGCTGCTGTCATGTTTTCATGTTTAGGAGTTTGCCTTCTTGCTTGCTGGATTGTGTGCGTCGTCGTCATCGTTATTGCTGCTGCAGCTGCCGCTGCTGCTGGTGTTGCTGTTGTCGGTGGTGGTGGTGGTGGTGGTGGTGGTGGTGGTGGTGGTGGTGGTGGTGGTGGTGGTGGTGGTGGTGGTGGTGGTGGTGGTGGTGGTGGTGGTGGTGGTGGTGGTGGTGGTGGTTATCCCCCACCCCCTAATATTGTAAAACGAGGGGGGGGGCGCCTAATTGTAAAACCCCGGTGTTTACAATATCCTTGGGGGCTACGGATACCAGTCTGTGGGAGGGGGGTCGGAGGGTCTCTCTTGCTTGTATTATTACCAGGAAAGCTTGTTTCGGGTTCATGTATTTGTGTGCTCGCATGGTGTGCTTCCGTCGAGGCATTTTGCCCTGAGTCGTATAATAACAGGAAAGGGTTACTGTGAGATTCCCCCACTGTCCCTAGCGGCTATCTCGCGAGACCACATTTGCACCATACAGCCACAGAGCAGGGGAGCATCAGACCGGCAGCGGACTTCAGAGGCTTTAGGTTTCTGCGGCAGTTCTCCTTGTGTGCCATGCCAAAGCATTTCACTGCTGTGTTTCCGGTGCCTCCGCCTGCTCGTCCTCTTCCGAAGTTCTGTGCCAGAACCTCAGTGTATGGTCGCCTCTTTGAATCCTCACACAACTTTGGCCTCCGTTTTTTTTCTCAGGGAGTGGCATCATGCAGCTGCGAGTCGGGGGACATCATGTACGACAGCAAGAAGCTCATCTTCAGAGCCAGGCAGCATCGGGGGAGATTCCGGGAAGACAGTGGAAGGTTTTAGATTGGAGCTCGGCCGCAGGTGCCGGATGCAGTCCCACCAAGCGGACGGGACGGCGAGGGTTTCCCACCATGAGTGGTGGACCACTGGGCCCGAGGCATTCGGAGATCTTCAGGGGTTCGGCGGCAGTCGTCATGGTGCTTGTGCAGGACTGGAAGAGCACTTCGAGACCGCCGACAGCCGCTCAGATTTCAGAAGCGAAGGCAGGTCCTTTTGTTTTCGCATCCACCCACCATGCCATGTCGCACCAAGCGCAGGCCGAGAAACCACCTCCAGCTTCATGCGGGGTTCGCGAGGAGGCCAATTTCTTGGGGGGGCGTCCTTTTCTGTTGTTCTTCTCATTGACCCTGGCAGGAGGTGAGAAAGGAATCCTTGTCAGCGAGAGCTGACAAGCTACAGGCCTGCGGGCTTCTTGCTTTTCTGTTTGTGTTGTGGTCGTACCCTGCTTTACTTCGTGCGTGCTGCTGACAGGAGACATGTCCTGGCGCTGGAGCAGAATCGGAGGCCTTTGGAGTGCGTGCTCGGTTGGATTCCCGGCTCGACGAGCCTGCTACCTGTGCAGGCCCCGGTCTCGCTGAGGTTTGACGAGACTGAGGCAGGGTGCCTCAGAAGATCAGGGGGAGTTTGTGAGCCGTTGTTGGCCAGGCTCCGACTTCTGGCCAGCACGACAAGGCCTAGGCGGCGTCGCTCCGAGTGTCCTCGAACAATCCCTGCTTGGAAGGCCGACGCGATTGGCAAGACGGCGTCGGTGGATGGCGGTGGAGCTGTGGATGAGGCACGATTGCAAGGGTCATGGGTTTTGGTCGTGGTTGCGGCTGGTTGCGTTCAGTTAGGACCCGACGGATCGTTTGGAATTTGGGATCCAACTTGACACCTCCCTCCCGGTAGTGCTGTGCATGGGTGGGCGGGCTTAGTGTGATTGATTCCAGACCAGGCTGCTGATCCGGTTGCCCGTGACGAAGCCGTCGCCTCGACTTCGCAGGAGGCCGGTGGGTCCTAATTCCGGGATTGACGGGCTTCGGAGTCTGGACGGTTTTGGGGTTTTGGGGGGTTGGGTTTGTGGGGTCCGGATTGAAGTTTGTGCTTGGGACTGTGGTGCCAACATGTGCTGAACTGCTGCAGGATCACATGCTGTTGCCAATGTATTCGGTGAGTTCACATGTGGACCAAGCGAGGGCTTGCTTGATCTGATTAGCAGTACGAATCCCAACTGTGAACACATGACAGGGGAGCTAGCTTGATTTCGATCTCCAGCAGGAAGCCAAACGGTGAAAACACTGCCTATCGATCCAATATAGGTCTGAGACGCATCGGGTGCTCTGTTGCATGGACATCATGGACCCCTGAGAAACTTTTGCTTCCTTGTGGCTTTACCTGGCCAGTGTTGGGCGAAGATCCGGCTTTACTGGCTGTCCGGCGGCCTTTGACTTTTGCTTCATCGTACGAAAGCTGCTGGTGACCTTTGGCTGGCCTGCATGCCGAAGCCTATGAAGGCCATGAAGGCCCCGAGGAAAGCGATGAAGAACATGAAGGCGATGAAAGCCAGAGCTGCTAAGCCTCCTGCGATGAAGAGCATGAAGACCACGATGAAGGCGATGAAAGCCAGAGCTGCTAAGCCTCCTGCGATGAAGAGCATGAAGACCACGAAGGAGATGAAGGCCAGAGCTACCAAGCGTCCTGCCATGCAGAGCACGAAGGCCATGCAGGCAGTGAGGAGGAAGCCTGCCATGCGAGATGCCAGCACGACGATGGACGATGAGCATGCACCGGCGCCCGTGCTGGTGCCAGTGCAGATGGTGCCGGACTGGGCACAGGCGTCGCCGGCGGAGTTCCAGTTTGACTGGCGTGGGGAGACGGTCGTGGAGTGTGCGCAGGTGGAAGGCACACGGACAGTCATGTTTGAGACCATCGGCACTCAGGAGACTGTGGCACAGGTCATGCAGAAGATGACAAGCAGAGGGTGCGCCGACCCGTCTTTTGTGTACCATCCTGTTGGCATGGCTGTATGTGTCGTCGCAGTCAAGAAAGCAGCTGATGACTCGAAGAAGGACGATGACGGGAAGAACGATGATGACTCGCAGACGGATGATGACAAGAAGAAGGACGAGCCAGAGCAGCCTGACGATGACAACTCACAGGGCAGCGACAGCACCAACACATCGAGCTCGCACTACTCGGGCGACCCTTTTTTCAAGCAGCTGCCGTCGGCAGGAAGCCATGAGGCGGACCCGCGGACGACCCACGATGAGAAGAGGGAGTGCTTTCAGATGTTCTACCATGACCGCTGGAACCGTGAGGTGCCGTGAGTCGGGGGCAGAGCACACAGCGCACAGCATACACAGCACAGCCACACTGCACAGCCACACAGCCACAACATACACACACACACACCACAGCAGCATGGAGGCGGCACACGACAGGGCACAACAGCACAGCATAGAGTGCAACGAGGGGTGAGTTTCACGAGGCCGGCTGCGCATGTGCTGCAATACGGGTCATGTCATAGGTGGTATCGTCCCGACATCCCAGGCATAGGCCGGGCTATGGGCTGGAAGGAACATGTGACGTATTATGGCGCACCATGCGTAGTCGGCCAGCCGGCGGCAATGGCTCCACAGCCGAGTTGGAAAATGTGACACCTGGGGTGCGGTTTGAGGTTCCGTCCCTCTCCCTTACCTCCGTACCCTAAGTATTCGGGGTGTTTGCTGGTTTCCGTTCTGAGGGTTAGGTTGTGTGCTGTGGGTTGTCCGGGTTTAGGTTGTCGGCGTTTCGGTTTGGGGATTGGCGGTTTCGGGTTAGCCCTGAACTTTACAACCCCATACACCCAATCCCGAACCCTCGAAGCCCAAGCCCAACACCCAAACCCCGAACACCCCAAGCCCTCAGGCCTAAACCTCGAAGCCCGAACCCCAAACCCCGAACCCCCAGCCCGGAAACTAGCACAGCCCTTAACCCACACCTAACACTTCGGTGCCCCAAGCCCCCGAATCCAAACCCATCCAAACCCAGCCCGATCCCCCCCTCCCTCCTTAAGCCCCCTTGGCACTCTTGCTCTGGTCAGGCTTCACCGCACCCAACTTGGACGCCTGCAGCCTGGAGCTTGGATTCCCTGCACTTGGCGTGCCCGTGGTTGATGCTCCTTGGTATTCTCGCTCTGCCTTAGGTGCCTGATCCTGCGAGTACGACGACTCCTTCGCAGGCCTCCTCTTCTGTTGCGCCTCGTGCTTCCTGTGCGTGTACGTGTGCTCCCGCCTGTATCCTTAGCCTGCCTTAGGTCCCCGAGTCCTTGGCTTCCAAGGATGTTGCTGGGACCTTGGTCGGCGTGAACTCAGGGCCCTTAAACCCCAGCCGACTTCCCCCCCCTTTGCACAATGACCAGGTCCCGTCTCCGGACGAGTCCACGACTCCTTCGGGCAGGGATGACGTCGCCGCCGGAGCCTTGGTCTGAGCCGTGCCTGAAGCCGTGCCTGCCGCGTGCCAGTCAGTGAGTGTTGCTTGTTTCGATCGCAGCCCCGACTTCAGCTCAAGCCTGAAGTCCTACCCAGCAGCCGCGGAGGTTGACTCTGGACAGCACAGCTTCAACTGGCATAGCCTGGAGGGCATCCAACTACCCAGCAGCCAGCGGAGGTTGACTTTTGGCAACACAGCTTGCCTGGAGTTTGAACTTCTCTAGGTCATCACCGTCATCGTCTGGCTTCCTGTCATCGTCCTTTTTCTTGTCGGCATCCTTCTTCGCGGCGGCGGCACGCTTCCTCTGATGCTTCACAGCACGGCAAGCGGAGTTCAGCATTCTGAGAAGTGCCCATGCTCTCCCCTTTGGCTGCAACTTTCGCCGCAAACTTTCCGAGCTGCATGCCAGTGAAAACATTACCTCTACAAGAGGGGCGAGCTCGACTACTTCTGCCGTTAGAAAGACATGTGACATAAAGATCCGTGCATTGAGAGAGAAAAAAAGAGAGGGGGTATTTGCTCCATTGCTTCTGCAGTGGTTCCTTCTCCCCGGTATTTGCACCATTGCTTCAGTATGCTTGGCTTGTTACGTTGCTTGCTCAGGTTGGTGCTACCTCCACGGTACCGGTGGCCTGGACCTTGGGCAAGAAGGTTGCAGTCCCCGCACCGACATACAGACATCTCGCAGGCAGCTCGTGGCTTGCTGGAGGCGCTATCTGCGGCTGCCGAGAACCACGAGGCCAGGATTGGCTCCAGGCGGCATTCCCCTGTTCCCGCCGCTTCCTTCAGGCCTATCCTGCGGTGACTGCCGCAACATCCGATGCAGTCTGGGTCTCGACTTCGGCTGCCGAAATCCAGGGTTGCTATGGGTTGCTTGTGTCCGCCATGCTCCTGCTTCTATTGTCCTACTCCGAAAGCTTGGTGCTTGCCCTTGGTGTCAGGTTCCTGATCAAGAAGCTAAGCCATTGGAGCCGGCCGAGTGTGTGCAGGACTGGGTTCGCGGGTGCTGGTGGGCCGTTGCTTCCGTCTTGCCGCTTGGAGATGTTGCACCGAAGCCTGGTTTTGTCTCGAGCTCTGGATTGTGACTAGAGAGCGAGTGCTCGTTATGTCGGCATTGATGGAGGCAGAAGGTGTTGAGATTGTCCTCCAAGACGGTCCCCTCGTTCCGGACATGTCGATGGCGGTCGTTGACACCGAAGATGTTGAGATCATCATCATTGACACGCCCCCAAAGGCATGCAAGGACCGTGTGCAGGCAGCATCCGCAACGAAGCCCAGCTCAGGATTCCCTCTTCCGGATTGGCCGGGCTGGTCGGGCAGCAGAACCCCATCGACACCCGAGCAATGCTTGCAGACGCCGTCGCCAGGGAAGCCAACATCGGGTGTCGGTGTTCCGGATTGGTCGGCTTCCTCAGTCACGAGATCTCCGATGACACCGAGGCCATCCCTGCAGACACCGTCGCCAAGGAAGCCAACATCGGGTGTCGGTGTTCCGGATGGGTCGGCTTGGTCGGGCACGAGAACCCCATCGACACCCGGGCAATGCTTGCAGACGCCGTCGCCAAGGAAGCCAGCTTCGGGTGTCCCGCTTCCGGATTGGTCGGCTTGGTCGGGCACGAGAACTCCAACGAGACCCAGGCGATCCTCTCGGCTGTCTCAGCCATCCCCGCCTCGCTGCAAGGACGAGGGGCCTCCTCGACGTGGCCCTGGCCTTGGCGCATCCTCGCAGCAGGAGCCTGGCAAGGACAGCAATAAGATGAATCGCAGCCAGGGCGATGGGACCGAGGAGAAGCCAAGCAAGGTTCGACGACTTGAGAAGGTGTGATCCAGTCTGATCTCCCGAAGGGGGCTTTCGCGGAGAGTTCTAGGCGATCCATCGGTGTCGAAGCCATGCAAACCAAAAGAAGATTTCCCGGGGCGTTCGACTGCTGTTGCTCTGGCCTTCAACTGCTGTTGCTCCAGTTTGCAGGACATGGTACCTCCAGCAAAGCGGTCCAGGACAGGGCCGGCAGGCGTGGTTGTGCGAGGCAAGACGAAGCAGGTGGGCACGGCCGCAAGCTGCAATCTACAGCTTTTTTTTCCTGTGTGGGCACACCACTTTCCTGGAAGGCAGAGGCTCCAAGGGAGTGCGACGAGGCCTGGACACGACATCAGATGGCGGGGGTCAAGCACACATCACCCTGTTCGTGCAGGGGCTCGCAACGAAACGGGCTCGGAAGATGGAGCAGGCCTAGCCCTCGGCTGATTCCGGCGGGAGTCTATGTGAATTGTAAAACCGGGACTGAGCACCCGGCGCTGGCTGCATCCCTCTCGGGTGTTGGCAGCCCCCCCCGACCTTATTCTACAGTTTTGCTGTGCTGACCCTCGGCCAGGCTGGGGCGGCCTCCCGGACCAAGGCCCAGCAGTTGTTGGAGGCTGGGTTGTTCGTTGTGTGCACAGGACATGCCGAGACTCTTTCTGGTTTTCGTAGGATGAGCGAAGCCGGCTGCCGGAGCAGGCTCGGGCGTGTTAATTGTAAAACCGGAGCGGAGCACTCGGCCCTCGCTGCACCCCTGTCGGGTGTGGGCAGCCCCCCCCGACCTTATTCTACAGTTTTGCTGTGCTGACCCTCGGCCAGGCTGGGGTAGCCTCCCGGACCAAGGCCCAGCAGTTGTTGGAGGCTGGGTTGTTCGTTGTGTGCACAGGACATGCCGAGACTGCTCTCTGGTTTCCGTAGGACGAGCAGAGCCGGGTGCCGGAGCAGGCCCGGGCGTGTTAATCGTAAAACCGGGAGGGAGCACCCGGCACTGGTTGCATTCCTCTCGGGTGTCGGCCGCCCTTCCGACCTTATTCTACAGTTTTGCTGTGCTGACCCTTGGCCAGGCTGGGGCGGCCTCCCGGACCAAGGCCCAGCAGTTGTTGGAGGCTGGGTTGTTCGTTGTGTGCACAGGACATGCCGAGACTCTTTCTGGTTTTCGTAGGATGAGCGAAGCCGGCTGCCGGAGCAGGCTCGGGCGTGTTAATTGTAAAACCGGATCGCGGCACCCAGCGCTGGCTACACCCTTCTCGGGCGTGGGCAGCCCGCCACCGCCCGATTCTACAGTTTCTCCTGCTCTGCTTCCGGCCAGGCTGGGGTGACCGCTCCGATCAAGGCCGAGAAGTACCAGGAGGCCGGTCTGGTGTCAAGCTCGGAGATGCCGAAACTATTCTGGTTTCCGTAGGACGAGCAGAGCCGGGTGCCGGAGCAGGCCCGGGCGTGTTAATTGTAAAACCCGAGCGGAGCACTCGGCCCTCGCTGCACCCTTCTCGGGTGTAGGCAGGCCGCCCCAACCTGATTCTACAATTTCTACTGCTGGTCCCGGCCAGGCTGGGGTGACCGCTCCGACCGAGGCCCAGCAGTCGAAGGAGGCTGGGGTATGCCGGGGTGTTCTTTGTGTGGGCTGGCAGCTTTGGCGGCAGGATGAGCGGAGCCGGCCACCGGAACAGGCCTGGGCGCGTGAATTGTAGAACCGGGGCGGAGCACCCTGCACTCGCTGCACCCCTCTCGGGTGCGGGCTGGCTGCTGCGGCCTGATTTTACAATATACCTGCTTTGCTGCAGTGCAGGACGTCTGGACAGACAAGACCAAGAAGGAGAACGGCGAGAAGGGCCCAAAGATCAAGAAGGAGATGGGCAAGGCCGGTGCCATTGCCGAGAACCGCTGCATATTGTAGAAGCTCGGGGGGGGCAGTAGCTGCAGCTCCCTGCACTGCAGGTGCCAGCAGCAGAGCCAGGCCCTGGTTCTACAATTTCGTGGCGGCCGGGGCCAGTTCCTACGAGGCGACCGTGGCAGGTCCTCCGCGAGGAGGTGCAGCGTCATCTTGCAGGCGTGGGATGCTCCCTTTGCTTTGATGGCCAGTGTGTGCTGCCTGCCTGAAGTAGCCGGAGTCCAGCTTCATGAAAATTCCTGATGGCATGCGATGTCCCGTGCCTGCGACTGTTGAAAGCTCAGGACCAGCTTGGAGCAGGGAGTTTGGGAGAGCATCCTCCAGGTCATGGGCTCTGAGTTTCGCCGAGGATATGAGGACATTGGAATCATGGAGGCAGCGGCTTTCGTTGCCTACATCGAGCAGGGCGGCTCGGGTGACAAGTGGTCGGAGATGGAGAGCACCGCCAAGGCAGCCTTTGTGCAACAGGACCATGTCGCCTGCGTGCAGAAACGGAGAGCGAGCTGGCTTGGGCACTTGGACGACTTCCAGATCTCAGGGCCCGACAAAGACAGCATGCGAGAACGTGTGGAGAAGTTGTCGCAGCGGCGTAGGCAGCTGGTAGAGCTGCTGACCCGGGTTGTGCCCAATCTTTTCAAAGACTGCAGAGCTGAGTTCAGAGAACTGAAGCAGGAGCTGCACGACAAGTCCAGCGCAGATCCTGCCGTTTCAAAGGACGAGCCACAGCAGCCTCGGCAATCGCAGCCTGCCCCAGCGGAGAGGGCAGTGGCCTCCTCGTCGGCTGCCTCGGAGACAGATGATCGTGCATCGTATCATGAAGACCTGTCCAAGCAGCTGTTGGCGCCCTATCGATACGAAGAGGTCCGGATGGAGAGACAGTGCTCCTTTGGAGCACTGATGCACGGGCTGGTGAAGATCTCCGAGGAACTGCTGGGAAAGGATTGGCCTGGTAAACTTTGCATCTGCCTAGCCAGCAGCGAGGAGCACTTCCAGAGGATGCGGCTCCAAAGCTGTGCCGATCTGATCTTCAGCATCCTTTGCGACGACAGCCACTGGGCAGGGCTAGCTGTTGCTAGGGACTGCGACGAGGCGGTCCTCTTTGACGGCCTGCGGAAGGAGTCCATACGAGCACTTGCTGAGGAGTTTCTGAGCAAGGTCAACCAAGTGCATGGCTGGGCATGCAAGCTCGTGGAGGGGGAGAATGTCGGCACTCAATCCGACACCTGGTCGTGCGGGCACCGGGTTCTGCTTGCCCTGCACCACATCTTGTGTTCGCTTGCTCCGGAGGGGGCTGGCTGGCCACCCGCGATCCCTGATGGAGGCTTCGGATCGGACTTCTTGGCTTGGCTATGTTCGCAGCACAGCGGCCAGTGTGGGATGCAGGCCGCCCCGGGCGAGCCGCCGCTGGATGCCAAGGTTCACTTTGGCCCCCTGATAAAGTCGGAGGCAGTGAATGCAGTGGTGAAGTCGAAGGCTGTGCATGCAGTGAAAGCAGCGGCAGCGGCAGGCACACCTGCCCAGGACAGCCAGAAGGAGCCCAGCAAGCGACGTGGCCCGTCCGCCAAGACCAAAGCCGAGAAGATCGGCCTGAACATGGCAGCAGCTGCGAAGATCGACTTCAACACGGTGTTTCAGCGACGGCACAAAGCCAAGCAATGCCCCTGTCCTGCAGGGCACTGGTCCAAGTTCCTTCAAGCGCTGCCAACCGACAAGCCCTTGAACTGCATCGTCTGTCGCGACCTGAGAGCTGAAGCTTGTGCCCTACCCCGCGGCGAATGTGCAGAGGAAAAGGTCCCCTTGGAGGATGATGCCCCTGCTCAGCCCGGCAGTGAGGCTTCGCAGGCTCTAGTCCCGTTGGATGAGGCATCTGAGGCTGTCGTCATCAGCGAGCTTGCAGTCGTCAAACGAAAACCTGGCCGGCCATGCAGGGGCACCGAGGCGCCCCAGCTGAAGGACCATTTGCAGAAGGTCAGACCAGGCATCTACACCCACCAGCAAGGGGCTCGCTACTACTGCAATGCCTGCTGTTTGGAGGTGTACTTCCAAAGGCCCACGACATCGGGGTTCGACTTCGTTCTCAGTCACGAAAGAAGCCGACAGCATCAAAACGGCTTGGCTCGGATGGGTGGAGGAGCAGCAGTGGTGCCCGAACCCGTGTCTGCTCCCTCCGAGTGTGTCGGGTTGCGAGTAGGCTCCGGGAATGGCCTTCTAGCGGACGTGCAAGATTCCATCCGAGCTTGGGTGGGAGCTGGTATGCCCCTGATCCTGGGCTCTGAGCTGGCCACAGTTTCGGTGCAAACAGTGGGCGAGGAGCTCCTCTTGAGACACCAGCACTGCTTGGGCAAGGAAGCCGCCTGCAGCCTGTGTGTCAGCTGCAAGCAGATGACGAAGCGGAAGCCATACATGAACGAGTGGGCCCATTGGGGCTTCAAGATCGATCAGGCTGAGCTCGCCTACCGATGCATCTTTCGACCCGATAGTGTGCAGCCATTGCTGTTGGAAATGACCAAGCGGGACTACGAGTCCGTTGCCAGGAAGGATCTTACCAAATTGGCCAACATCTACAGTGCATCCGGGGCAACAGGCTTGCACGAAGCCTGCTGCCGTGCATTCTACTGCATAAACACTCGTGTGCGCAGTGCCTCCCTAAAGGCCTTCATCAGGGCCCATCTGGATGGCCTGGAGGTGGTCGAGGCAGGGGAGGAGGCAGCATACCAGGCTCTGTGCCAGACCATGGAGTCCAAACTCGCAGACTCCGAGGTGGATGACTCGGAGCTTCGTCTGGCATCCTTTGTGGCAAGCGGTGGGCTCAAGAAGAACCGAGCCGTGGAGTGCCTATTCAAGACGTTCGCCTTCGCGGAGTCCCGTGCAGCCCGCGGATGCACGAAGCGCCCCGGCACCAGTCGCTTCCTGGACAATGAGACGAGATTTGAGCTCCTGACCACACTGTCCAGGGGCTCCTCGTCCTGCGACTTCCTCGAGCTGTTCCACATGCCGCAGAAATCCACGAGCCTGGGCCACATAGACTTCCAATCGGAGCTCTTGCCAGAATTCTACTGCTCCCATGTCGACATGCAAGTCCAGAAAAAGTCTGCCCAGCGAGTCGCGAAGCTGCTGGGAGGCCACAAGCAGAGGTGTCTCGCGACTGCCATGGACGAGACCATTTGGCGGGCCACGTGGGATGCGGTCGTTGGGCTTCGCGAGGATGCCAGCGACAACATCCGGATCGTCGGCGGCGGCTGGAGTCCCAGTCGCGATGTCTCTTGTCTGAAGAGACGCGAGGAGAGAAGGGACGAGGACCTGGCTCGCCTCACCTCTTCCTTTCTGGTTACAAGGACGGACAACAACTCCGTGTGCTATGATCTCAATCTGGTGCCCATGTTCCAGGGCCGCAAGCTGGGAAAGGGCCATATCTTTCTCGTCCTCGCCGGACAATGCTTGGAGTCCCTGTCGGCTGCATGTCAAGGCGTCCCGCCACTGAGTTTGGCCTACGACAACGGGTCTAGCAACATGCGATGCAACCTGCTCCTCCTGGGCTTGGTCGATACCACAACTCTGGATGGCATAGCCTTCTGGAGCAAGTGCAAGGTTCAGAAGGTGTCCCAGAAGGTGAAGCTGCCCCTCTTCCCCTTCGGCTACCTCCTCTACCAGCACGAGCCCGACGCCGCCTGCTACCCCTTCCACGGCTGCAACGACCTCTTCCATACGCTCAAAAACCTGACCCTCCAGCATGTCTCAGCAAACAGGACCATCTGTCACGGCGCCGTGTTCACCGACTACAGCTGCATGGTCCAGAACGGCCTCTCGATGGCTGCTTATGTAGCAAAGGACCCGCAAAGCGATAGGTGTTCCTTTCTTCGCTTGAACACCACCTTTCTGGAAAACACCCACTGGCAGGGCGATGGCCTCCGTGTGATGTCTTTCATCGGGTCGCTGATGAGTGCCGCCTGGCTCTGCCGACTATCTCCGAAGGAGACTCTGTACATTGCACTGACGGGCTACTTTCTGCTTCTTTTGCATCTTGCAGAGAACATGCGAAGGTACGGCAACAATTGGGAGCAGTTCAGCATGCCGCTGGCTACGACCCGGAACGCCGTCTGGCTCATGGCTCATGCAATCAACGCCTCATTGATCCATGATCCCTCGAACGCCTTCGAACTCCGGGGGCGAAATGAGAGGGTCGCGGAGTCCTGGTTTGGAAGGGTGAAACAAAGCTTCGGCGGCCAGCCCAGCATCAGAGATGCTTTGTTCGGCTCGGTGTTGCAGCATTTGAAAAGCTACAAACTCTCCAAGGCTGCCAGCTTTCCAGCCCATACACAAATGGCCGCTGTGGAGCTGGATGAGGCTTCCAAGATCGCCCAGCGGGCGATTCAAGATGCTGTCTTCTTCCAGGCCTTCATCTCGCGGCATCGCTCTGCCAAGAACATACGGTCGGACCTCGACCACTGGTGGTTGACACAGGGTGCCAAGCTGATGACATGCAGCAACTACGACCCCGACTCGCCGGACGAGGACATGGACGACGAATGGGCCGCTGCTGACGAGGAGCTGCTGGATGATGAGGCGGATGCGAGCGAGGAAAACCAGGCAGATGCAGTGCTGCAAAGCTTGGATGCAACCGTGCAGGTCAAGAAAGACATCGCTGCAATGATGCAAGAGATTTCCACTGAGCCTGAGGCTGCCGGCTCTGTGTCCGGCAAGCCAGCCCAAGCAGATCAAGCAGAGCAGGAGCTCACAGACTTGCCCGAGGGTCTGGAAGACGAGGAGGTCGAGCTGAACCTCGCCGGCCTGTTCATGGAGCTCCGAGCACTGCCGTCACTGCAGATGGAACTCACCGATGACAACGGCGTCGCCACGTTGCAGAGGCGGCTGGTGGAGATGCGAGAACCTCTGCACAAATTCTGCTGTGCTGTGCGGCTTTCCGAAAAGCAGCTCTCCCGAGCGCAGGTGCTGCGGTCGACATCGCACATCCCGCACGAATGGCACCAGATCAATCACGAATTGGCCCTTGCTAGGCAAGCCTCCCTTTACCAGTTGGAGGGGCAGCGACGATCCAGGCAAGCCGCCTGGAGTGACGGGCAGCGGCAGCTGCAGCAGACAGTTACTCAGGGTGGTGCAAGTCCAGGTGCTCTGCGGTCAGTGTCTTACTTCGGAAGGGCTGGGCATGCAGGCGACCAAGTCTTCCTCATCCGGCGCCAGGAGCAGGTCTCGCTTTGCTTGATGTGCACGGTCTTCCGGGGTGCCGTCCTCCAGGGCAGAGCCTCGACCAGGCGGCTGAGAACCATGCGACCGGCTGTGGGCCATCTGCCCGTATCCATGGTGGGGCGTCTCAGGGTGGTGGAGCTGGTGCCGCTGACTCCGACATCCTGGTTCGCATCCTCGCAGAACCAGGTTCGTTTGCTGGACCCGCTGGACGTGCTGGCCGAGTTCGTGCCGCAAGAGGTGGATAGAAACCCGTCGCGAACAGTTTTCCGCTACACGCCGAAGGACATTCTGAGCATTTGTTTTCGTGTTTCCTACAAATTAGCGAGAATCTAGCTTCGAAGACATCCCACAGGACGTGGCAGACATGGAAGCTTTCGTGCAGAAGGGTGACTGGAAGCATCAGCGGCAGCCACTCGAGGAGAAGGCCGTGTGAGGTTCCCCCCTCCCCTCCAAAAAAAAAATCCTAGTCATAGTTTTCCCTGCGGCAGGTTCCTGATGCTCAGTCCGTCGCACTGGCCATCCAAGGGTATACCACCCGCAGCTTTATGCCGTCGGTGGCGCAGAAGGTTGTGCCCCAGTTCCTGCAAAAGCTGCCGGATGCCTTCAAGCAGACGAGCACCCCGCTGTTGGATGACAAGGAGCGGTTTCACATCTCGAAGACGAAGGCCGTTTCCTGGCAGGAGTTCTGCAACAGAGCAGTGATGTACTTCGATATCCGCTTGGCTGGCATGACTGCAATGGCATACTCCAGCCATGTCTTTAATACCTTGTCCGAGCTTCATCCGCGACGGTCCGGTGCTCTGAAAGCCGTGGCCACACTTGTACAGCGAGTGGACGCCGAGTCACCGAACTTGCTGACCATCTAGATTCAGAGTCCTAGTCGCAAGCAGCCACAAACACAAACACAGAGCCACCTCACAACTCTGCATGATCTTGCATGGTCAGTCGGTTGAGCTTGCACTGACATGGGCCCGAGGCCGTGAGAAAAAGAGTTCAGAGAGCGCTGCATTCATGTGTTCGTTTATGTTCGTTTACTGCGATGCTGCCACGATCCTGTTTGCACACTTCCAGCCGGCAGTATTTTACAATTAATCCTTCCCTGGCTAGGAGAGCGATAATTGTAATTTACAATTTCTGCCCCCCCCCCCTGCTAAGACGTGGGGGATTGGTGGTTGTTGGTTGTTCGGTGTTGGATGTTGGCTGTGGGCTGTGGGCTTTCTTCTGTTGGCTATTGGTTGTTGCTGTTGTTGTTGTTGTTGTTGTTGTTGTTGGTGGTGGTGGTGGTGGTGGTGGTGGTGGTGGTGGTGGTGGTGGTGGTGGTGGTGGTGGTGTTGGTGTTGTGGGTGTTGTCGGTGTTGTCGGCGTTGTCGGTGTTGTTGGTGTTGTCGGTGTTGTCGGTGTTGTCGGTGTTGTTGATGTTGTTGGTGTTGTTGGTGTTGTTGATGTTGTTGGTGTTGTTGGTGTTGTTGGTGTTGCTGGTGTTGTTGGTGTTGTTGGTGTTGTTGGTGTTGTTGGCGTTGGTGTTGGCGTTGGCGTTGGCGTTGGCGTTGTTGTTGGTGTTGTTGTTGTTGTTGTTGTTGTGGTTGTGGTTGTGGTTGTGGTTGTGGTTGTGGTGGTGGTGGTGGTGGTGGTGGTGGTGGTGGTGGTGGTGGTGGTGGTGGTGGTGGTGGTGGTGGTGGTGGTGGTGGTGGTGGTTGTGGTGGTTGTGGTGGTTGTGGTGGTTGTTGTTGTTGCTGTTGTTGTTGTCGTCGTCATCGTTGTTGTTGTTGTTGGTGGTGGTGGAGGTGGTGTTTGTGTTGGTGTTGTTGGTGGTTTTGGTGGTGTTGGTGGTGCTGGTGGTGCTGGTGGTGCTGGTGGTGCTGGTGGTGCTGGTGGTGCTGGTGGTGCTGGTGGTTCTGGTGGTTCTGGTGGTGCTGCTGGTGCTGCTGGTGCTGCTGGTGCTGCTGGTGCTGCTGGTGCTGCTGGTGCTGCTGGTGCTGCTGGTGCTGCTGGTGCTGCTGGTGCTGGTATCGGTGTCGTTGTAGTTATCGTCGCTGTTGTTGTCGTCGTCGTTGTGGTTGCTGTCGTCGTTGCGTGCAGCTGCAGCTGTGGCTGCGGCTGCCGTGGCTGCGGCTGCGGCGGCTGCTGCGGGTGCGTCTGGGGGCGGGGGTGGGGGGGGTGTGCGGGTGTGTGTGTGGGCGCGGGTGCTGCTGCTGCTGCTGCTGCTGCTGCTGCTGCTGCTGCTGCTGCTGCTGGTAATGGTGGTGTTGTTGTTGTTGCTGCTGTTGTGATAGGGCTACCGCTAACAAGGGTAGTGATAGTCGTAGAGGTAGCGGCAGTGGTAGTGGTGGGATACTGGTAGTGCTGGTACTGATGATGATGATGTTGCGCTTCATGATGTTGGTGATGATGTCGATGATAGTGATAACGCTGTTATAGTTGATGTTACGATGATGAGTGGTTTCATGATTTTGATTGTGAGTGCCGCTACGGCGACGGTTACGCCAATGGCCCAGTTCGTGCAGCTGGTGCCTTTGTTTTCCCGAATCGTCACCATTGCCGGACAGACTTTGTAAGTTCTGATTGATGGCTCAGCACTCGTGATGTAAGAGCAGTTGTAACGACCTCCAAATGGAATGTGATGTGTCGCAATAAAGGCTTCTCAACGTTGTGAAGACAAACGTAGCCGACGTAGCCATCGCCGAAGCCCAAGCCTGTGCACTTGCAACACCAAACCATGCTTTCAAGACCCCAGAACCCCGAATCCTACACTCCAATGGGACTGCAAGAGTGAGTCTGCGGAGGGGATCAACCCCAAAGCCTGAAACTCAAGTCGCACGCGGTTCCATCTCCGGCCATGTCGCTTGGACATCCCAGCGCTGGTACCCGCGCTGCCAGGTCTCTTGTGGTAAGTCACACTCAGCCGCCACCTTCGAACAGCACTAAAGCAGAAACCTGAATAACGACACCATACTTCTCTCATTCAGCAACATCCGAAACTTTTGAATCCCACTACCTCGCCGCACTCTGAAGGTTCACGTCTCAGGACTTGGGGCTAGACCTATATGGACTATAAGCAAGGCTGCAGCAAGGCTGACGCTTTATGGATAACGGAATCGGGCTGTAGATTACGGTGAAGGTCAGGCTGGCAGCATTCAGAGTTTTGCTTGCGTTTGCGTGTCAATGTTCCGCACCTGGCATTCAAGTTACGCAGGTTGGAGGATTTTACCCTTCAGTTTCAAACTGAAGGGTTGCACCCTGAGCTACTGAGCCATTCGAATCGAAGCTTTGACCTAAACGCGTTTTGAACGTAGACTTCGCTAGCCTGCATCCTAAACGTTCAACCCTGTTGGCCCTTGACCCCTGAACCCTGAGTGGCTGAGTGGGTGAACCCTCGCGGAGCCACTTCCTCCATTCAAGGGCGGAGGGAATCGAACACCTATAGCGGGCAGGATTTGACCCTTAAGAGAAGTGTGCCTGAAAATGAGTACGGTTTGCAGCATTTACCCTGTCCTTATCCCGCCTACATCCATCCGGAGCCAAACTTTTGTAAACTATGTGCCATAGCTCTCCCTCGCATCCGGACACAAGGGCGGCTGCCTTGGGCGTCGCGCTGCTGGGTTGTCACCTTGCGAAGGAAACCCTCGCCTGGATTCTTCGTCGCAAGCAAGCTTCGGGGCTTGAAGGCTTGAAGCCTTAAGCATCCAACTAGTTTCTTTTGGGTGTGCTGGAGTCTTTCTTGGACCCTCTTTTACGTGTCTAGGGGGACTCCTGTCACTCCTGTCACCCCGCAAGCCCTTCGTTTGCATGTGGCAGCCGGAAGCATCTTGCAGAGGCTTCTACTGGATCCATCATAGCACACCACACCAAGAACCAAAGCACACATGCACTTGTACATGCATGCACATGTACATACACTTCTACACATGGAAGTTTGTGTTCGTGCGTTTCGGTACATGTAAGTCCGATTGCTTTTCGTTCATGCTTGTACCTCCAGTCTTATAGGGATACCATGGCAGAACCGCCTCTCTGCCCCAACCGAGGGTGGGCATCAGCAGCCCAAAAGGCGCTTGCAGCATCTTTGTCAGCCACTGCGCGCCCTACTCGCGGCCACTAGTACGGATGCTCCTCGTCCTTCCTCATTGTCAGGAAGGCTTCTTAAACAGGGTTCCTATTCAGGATATTCCATAATGTCATTTTGAGGAGGAAACTGCCCTGCAACGGGCCTCTGGCTCTGTTGATTTGCTTTCTGTTTTGCGAACCGCGCGTTCGGCGACATCCCCCGAGAGAGCGTGGTTTTGTCGGGATCTAAGTCAGGAGTTTTCCCGAAAGACATGCCAGGGGCGATTCTGCTTCCGAACCGCAAACCCTGAAGCTGAAGTTTAGTATGGATTCTCATCTCCCAGCCGGCCCCGCTCCTTCAGTGACAAGCTCGATTGTGGGAGCTTGAGTCAGTTTTCCCAACATTGTACTCTTCCATGCACCCTTCTGTAGATGTTGCCTTCCATGTTCATGCCCCGCAACTCTGCTCTGATCATTGATACGTGGCCCCAAACCCAACCCAGCCACGAGTCCAGAGATGCTTTATCAAGTGTCCATGTACAGAAAGTCTTAGTCTCATCGCGAAGGCCCCGGTCATTTTGAAGAAAGAATAGCTCAGTCATAACTAATGCAGGGCTCCTTCAGAAATCCCGGAAGTGAGGTGTCGAAGCAATCAGCAACAACCCTCAACCCTGGACTCTGTCATGCTCATGGTTAACATCACTAGACGTGGCCTGCCTCAGGCTTCGCCGCGCCCAGGGCACGGACCCCTTCACTGTGCTCGGTGTGGAGGCGAGCGCGACCCGCGATGAGGTCAAGAAGGCCCGGAGCTGTGATGTAGAGGTTCACGCAGCTTTGTGCTGTAACTAGCTGCATTTCATTTCGTTTGTCATATGTGTATACATGTATGTCCTCAGTTATGTGCGCTTACTTCTTTGGTTCTTTTACATCTGCACATAAGATTTTATTGTGCAGTTTGTACGATATTTCCGTCGGCTGGTGGGCACCTGTTTTTTTGAGTCTGCTAACACTGATAAATACATTTATGCAGGGATCCATGCGGGTTTGGGGGGTTTGGACCAGGACTTGCACAAATGTCCTGAACAAGGCCTTCAGTACGCAATGCAATGTTCACAATTACACCAGTTGGGGTTCGGCTCTCGAACAAGGTAGTTGTGCAGCTAAGCTAAGCAGGAGCCTGAACCCCGAGGTGTGGCCTTCAAGTCTTGGGGGAAATGCTCGCCAGAGGTTGATTCTTTCGGGCATCAAGCTGCGCTCTTACCTGCCAATCGTCTCATGATGTAGCTCGACGAGCAATTTTAATCTTGCTCTCGCTCCACACCTTCATCCCCAAAACAGGTCAGATACGGTAAGCCCGCAAACCCTTGCGAGATATGACTTGCAGCCTGAGGGTAGACCTCTTCGCAGGCCTTTCGCGAGCGGATTCGCAAAGCACACCCTGACGCCGGCGGCAGCACCGAAGAGTTCAAGCAGGTCATGTGGTAATGTAGAAGTCTCACATACTGCTCATCACAACCCCTTTCAGTCCTTACATAGTTTTGGGTGCAGTTTCCCGGCAACCTTGCAGTAACTATGAACTTTTTTACTGGTCCTGTCATGGTTAGTGCGACGATAGCTTGTGATGCATAAGATCACTCGTACTCGTATGGCTACGACTCGTGTAGGAGATGTTGCTATTCATTATTGTGTCTCAGACTCCGGTTCCCTTCCTGGTACTTGTGATACAACACGATTTGCTTACGATGTGATGTGATGGCGCTTGAGCAGAGTTCAGTAAGTTTACACTACATTGCAGAAAGCATGCTCTTGCTTCACGTACTGGAGCTGCTCACAATCTCACTGAGAAGAGACAGCGCAAAGTTCTTTTCGAAGTGGATAATACAGAGACTCTTGAAGCTATCCAATCCGTACTCTGTGTCCGGTTTGTAGATTTTGAGTGGCCCGAGGTTGGGGCGTCCCCTTCGTTGTTTGCCCGAGAAGGTTTGGATTCGCTTGCGGGATTTGGCATGTGCGTTGCCAGCTGTCTTCATCGTGCGCCTTTGGAGTTTGTGTTTCAGAGTTACATAACACAGCCAAGGCTTGTAGTGGCTTTTATGGATGCGCCTGCAGAAATCTCAATGTGCCGGCAAGGGAAACTGGATCGTCCTCAAGCTTCCCATGATTTAATTAACTCATGTAACCAGTATAGAAGGTGGACGTGCAGCTGTGAGCCTGAAGCCATATTCTGTCGGATGAAGCTCTGTATTGAGCCATACGACTACTGGCAAGAGCTGCATCGGGTGAGCGCCGCACAAAGCGGAAAGCGTTCTTGTTGTTCTCTCTGTCTCTCTCCCTCTCTCTCTCTTTCTCTCTCTTTGTCTCTCTCTCTCTCTCTCTCTCTTTCTCTCTCTCTTTCTCTTCCTTTACTCCAAATCGTGTAACTCCAGTAGGAGATCTTGCAGGCTTCTAATTCCAAAGGTGGTCCTTTTCACTGCTTTTCTACCTCTGAGACTACTTCTCAGATGTAGGCCATTGATTACTATCGCTACTGTCTCCCACAAGTAGTGCCCCTGCACAACACCAATACTTCTGTTGCTGGCTGCAGCTGCACACTGCTGCGGTTGCTGTTTCCGCGCCATCCTCCTCCGTATTATGACTCTGGTTTTCACTACTCGCACCAATTGCTGGTACTGCTCACTACCCCTTATGCACTAAATACTTGCTGTTTTACTTGTTTTTTCCACCTTCTGAGGCTACTTGCGACATGATCTTGTCGCGACATGCTACATAACACCACATACTACGTTTGACAGTTTGACATACTGCGTACTACGTACTAGTACCGACAGTTACCAGCACCTCATGTGATAGAGACACAGTCGGCGGCAGGTCCGCGAGGCATACCAGGAGGCGTTGACCCGCGTGGGTTTCCACGTCTCTGGTGACGACTCCAGGCCCCGGAGACTACTGTGCCTCGTGGTTAAGTTCAGGCTTAAGGTCGAGGATGAAGGCTTCTTCCCAAACCTTCCAGCTTAATACGGCCTACCAAGTGACTTTGACGAGCGCTACTTTCTGACGGAGGCTTGTAGATTCATGACAACCAGAACTTCTGTGTAGGTGATTTGTTCTGCAATGTTGAACCGGTCAACTGTAAGCGGTTTGCAAGGCTCTATGCGGCAATGTAGCCCCTCTTGTTGTGGTATTCGAACCCGATACCAAAAGCCCAACAACTTCCCGTCCAGGTTTCGAAATTTGTTTGGAGAGCACCGAGACTACGACAACTGCGACCAATCTTGTGGTGTTCAGTTCTTATGGCCGCAAGCCCTTAAGACATCAACTTAAATCCGAAGCCGTATACGTATGAGTGGTGCTGCCAGGACCGGCGAGGGCACCACAAGAACGAATGCACCAGGCTGGTCCATCCGTGAACCTCGATGCATTGTTGTTACTGCTATTGCAAGTGTTAGTGTTTTTATTCTAAATAGTGTTTTAAGTGGTATTCGCTGTTATTATTACTCTTATTATGACTTTTAGTAGTCGGGGTAGTAGCAGCGGCTGTGGCGGTAATCTAGCAGTAGCAGTAGCAGTAGCAGTAGCAGTAGTAGTAGTAGTAGTAGTAGTAGTAGTAGTAGTAGTAGTAGTAGTAGTAGTAGTAGGAGCAGTAGTAGGAGCAGTAGCAGTAGCAGTAGCAGTAGCAGTAGCAGTAGCAGTAGCAGCAGCAGTAGCAGTAGCAGTAGCAGTAGCAGTAGCAGTAGCAGTAGGTAGTAGTAGTAGTAGTAGTAGTAGTAGTAGTAGTAGTAGTAGTAGTAGTGGTGGTGGTGGTGGTTGGTGGTGGTGGTGGTGGTGGTGGTGGTGGTGGTGGTGGGTGGTGGTGCGGTGTGGTAGTGGTAGTGGTAGTGGTGGTGGTGCTGGTAGTGGTAGTGGTGGTAGTAGTAGTAGTGGGGTAGTAGTAGTAGTAGTAGTAGTAGTAGTAGTAGTAGTAGTAGTAGTAGTAGTAGTAGTAGTAGTAGTAGTAGTAGTAGTAGTAGTAGTAGTAGTAGTAGTAGTAGTAGTAGTAGTAGTAGTAGTAGTAGTAGTAGTAGTAGTAGTAGTAGTAGTAGTAGTAGTAGTAGTAGTAGTAGTAGTAGTAGTAGTAGTAGTAGTAGTAGTAGTAGTAGTTTTTGCATACCTGGAGGTCGCCTCCACTCACATCCTCTCTTTGTATGTGTATGTGTATGCGCAAATGTCTGCAGTTGTATATATACATGTACGTGTATTTGTTGGTGCATGTGCATATGTATGCTGTAATGAATGTATATGTATATGTATATCTGTATGTATATGTATATGTATATACGGTTAAACCGCTTCAAACCTAGACCCTAGAGCCTTGAAACAACCCGAAAGCCCCCAACCGGAGAAACCTAAAGTCCAGCTCCACAACCCGAACCACTAAACCTTGCAGCTGCGATGTCCGAGGATTTCTACAAGTGGCGGCGCGAGCAAGTCCAGCAAGAGAAAGATGTTTGGGAGCCTGGGCGGCGCGTGTCTGCTGACAAACCGAAACCACAGAGCGCACGGTTCGACGGTGTACATGCGTCAAAGTATAGGTTGACTTGTTTACCCGTTCAAAGCCGGGGTCAGGCTTCGTGTTTCATGACGGCAACCAAGCTTATGAAGGTATATAGGGGTTCACGGCCCAAGGTTTGGGGAACTTTGGCGTATCCTCTTAGCCAACTATGAGGTCTTGGGGCAGGCAACCCCTAATCGCAGGGCATATAAGACAGGAGCTTCAAAACCTTGACTGGCAGCGCGTGCGACAACATGCTGACGGTGATGGTGACAGTGATGTCGGGGGTGGTAGCGGTACGAGAACTAGGAGAAGGAGGAGCAGCAGAAGCAGCAGGATGCCACAGCACAGCCCATATAGGTGCGAGGTCGGACCCAAGAGCACTCAAACTCAAGAAACCTGACATAGGACCCGCAATGCATGGAAATATTTGCACTTCCTGTCTAAGTCCATGTATATAAATCTGGCATCGTAATCGCCTATACCTCACATCCTGTCAAATCCAAACCCTACAAGTTCGGTGTTTCGCATGAAACCAGGAACAGGATGCAGAGGCCCGAAGCCAGCACTGGTGGTGCCCCGGCGAGAGATCAGGGATTCACTGGTGAAGGGTTCAGTTCAGGGGCACCGGTTCCGACTAGTGTACGGTACATATTTACTCGAATGATGGGATTAGGTTCTAGGACTCAACTATGGGAATCCAAAGATTTCATGAACCTGATTTGGCTGTGAGTCATTTTGAGCAGGTCTTCGTTGCTTTCGGAGCAGTGTTCCGAACGTTTAGCGCCAGGACGGTGTTGTCAAACGCTCTAAATGGCCCCAATCCGGAACAACAGGCTCACATCGGAGCCACGGCGAACTCGGGATGGATACTCTTTGACTGTTTTGCGTGGGAGTTTGTGCCGAAAGCTGGCATATTATATGGGTTCTATAGCTATGCTTATGCGCACTTGTATACACGCGTGCATATTCATATATGGTAACCCCCGCCCCAAGAACTACCTACCCTCGTTTTGTATCGTAAATACCGTGCCAAACCAGCTTTTCCGGAAGGTCAGGATTCTGTATCTCTCATAGACTACCAAAATCAAACTCACATTTCAAGAGAACGTGTCAGTCAACTCGCTCAGGTTTGACGTGAAGTCCGGATTCAGTATCTCTCAAAGACTACCGAAATCAAACTCACATTTCAAGAGAACGTATCAGTCAGCTCGTTCAAGTTCGACGTTTCGACATGAGCACACGCTTAACAGCAACACTGTGCTCTTCCTCCCAAAACAAACTTTGTCTTAGGGAAAACAAAAAAAAACAAAACAACATCTTTTGGGAGATTGTGTGGCCAGACTTGAAAAAGATGTTTTTTGTTTTTCCCAAGGAAAAGATGGTTTTTGGTGGAAAAACCAACTTTTTCCTAGGAAAAAGATGGTTTTGATGTGAAAAATAAAATATTTCCTAGGAAAAAGATGGTTTTGGAGGGGAAAACCAACTTTTCCCAGGGAAAAACAAACAGACAAAAAAAACATGTTTTGAACAAATATACGGCCGTACTCCCAAAAGATGGTTTTGTTGGGTTTTCCCTAGGAAAAAGTTTGTTTTTCACACCAAAACCGTTTTTTCCCTAGGAAAAGTTGGTTTTTCCAACGAGATAGTGAGTGAGTGAGCAAGCGAGAGAGAGAGAGAGAAACCGATACAATAACCGAGACATCTGTTTTTCCATAGGGAGTCAATGATATCCAAGGAAGACTTTTGTTCAGCCCTCCCAAGCACACAGGGGTTCTTGCATGATATTTTTGCTTAAGCTTTATGCCTTGCACTCTGAAAAACTGCGTTGTAGTCAAGCCATGGCACCTGTTCTAAGCTCCGGCTGACCCATGCTGTACCCTCAAGTCAAGAACTGAAGTTGTAACAGCTTTAAAGCTCCATACAACTTATTCCATAAACCCGCAACTATAAAGCGCCAAACCCCAGACCCTCTCTGAGCATCTCTTTGCGCTTTTGCGTCCGAGGTCTTCCAAAGGCACGCGCGCGCAGCAGCGTGACCGGGCTGCCACGGCAGCCGAGGACAGCTGGCTTAAGAGTGATGTTGGTCCAGCTTCTCGGGCAATGGACCCTGAAGCCTACAATCCTAAACCTTGCTGGTGCAGATCTTGAAACGGTGATGGAGCAACTCGACGACCATGATGATCACGACGAAGCGGACTATGAAAACGACCACCAGGATCACCACGACGACGACTACGTGACTATCACCATGACGACCACGACCGCCAGGGGGACGTCAGAAACCATGGCGTGACCGCCAAAGAGACCACCCGCAGACCACCAGGACCACACCAGGAGACGACCAGAATGCCGGTCAATAAGCTGCGCCCCATTAAATGATGGGATACAGAGAGACACGACCACAATACTTCCCCTGCCCGATTGCTCGTGGGATTCAGGATCACCGCCAAATCTTAAAACGCTACGCACCATGTACTGGCGGATTCAGAGACATGGGCAAGTTGCTGCCCCCAAACAATGTATTGGCAGGATTCAGGCGTGTGGCCAACATGCTTCGCCCATCCATGTATACTGGCGGGTTTTCAGAGACATGACCCAAATGTTTCGCGGCAAAAGACAAGCCAATGTACCGGAGGTTACAGTGACTCGCACTTTTCGACAAGGACACGACTGCACCGAGAGCATGAATAATGTGACATGAGCGCAGCGGGAGCGTGGAATATTTCGCGTGTGCTATGCTGCATTAGCCAGGTATCTTGAACTGCCAACGTAAGAACCCCACAGGGTCTATCACACAGTATTGGGGGACAGGTCTTTTGGGGTTTGTCGTTGTGTGTGTCGGTGATCTCATGGATTTCGGGTTGGCGAGCGTGGCCGGGATCTATTTCACGTTACGCTCAGTTGCAGTTTTATTGCTTCGGTGAACGAACGAGACTCTTGTTTTAAAAGGCTTGCGGCAACGAAACTGTTTTTCCTGCTTTGGAGGATTGTTTCCTGTGTCCAGGGAAACATTTGAGCCTTTTTGGTGGTTGCATCCCTGGGTTCACGGTTTGATTCATGCGGGCGGTGCGAAGGGAATCGTGGTTGCTGCCTCGGGACAGATCGCGCATTCTAGTTTTGAAGGCACTTTGTCAGTCGTTCCGTGTTGACGTTGCAGCATGTGGTTTAGACGGCCTCACGGCACTCAATTCTGTTGAGATGTATATAATTATATAAGCTTGGCTGAGGAAGGAATAATTGCCCTTGCCTCCCTTCTCCGGAAAACATCCAAGGAGCCACCGAAGACTGTCCGGGCACAAAATCCGCGAATGCGACGGGAAGACCGACTGCGGAAGAAGCAGAAACTGCAAGAGCGCCAGGACGAGTCTGTAATGGAGTGGGATGCATTCCTGAAGAGCAGCTTGACCTCGTGAGTGCTCCTTCGGAGCTGCAGGCGAAAGGTCGGCAGGCTCTGGAGTAATCTCTTTGGGACCTTTTGGCGAAAGGCATGAAATCTCTTTGCCTTATGGAGCTTGGATGTGGGATCTGCAGCGCCGGCATGCTGAGGTCAGGTGTCCAGAAGAGCCCGTAGAAGAATACCCCTTTGCAAGAAACGACTGTTTGCCTGCTACCTCCAACCTAGGAACCAAGAATGGCAAAGATAAAGACACCTTCGGGCAACAGAAACGGACGAGACCGGCACGTGCTTGGGCAGGAAGTGCGGCTTGTGGTGAAGGTTTGTGGGAAGGTTTGGCTTGAGTCTTGAAGTTCGGTGCATGATGAAAAAGATATCAAAAGATTCGACATCGGTCGAACAGGCCGGCAGACTTGCTTCGTGGTCATGCGAGCAGTAGCCACACCTGCAAAGCCTCCTACCGGTTACTGAGACCACAGAGGTCTCCTGATATCTGCAGCGTGAATGGCATTGTATCAGTGAGTGCATTTGAGTGTGTTTGATGATATGCGGGGCCGACGGCAACATCTAAGACATAAGTCCTTATAACTGATAGGTGGGCATGTACTGTGGCCAGTCTATGCACCTACGGCTCATCTGCAGCAATGGAAATGGTATCTTATCATCGAAACTCTGTTTACACAACAGGTCTTCTGCTGGGAGCTTCGGGTCTATGCGGCAGACCAAAATGGTTCGAGTGAATAAAGGGGTCGATCGGTCTCGGTTTGGTTGAAGCGCTTGGCGAGTTTTCAGGGTAACCAGAAAAGCGCCGAACAGGTGCTGCAAGAATGCAGTCGGGGTTTCGGCGAACTAGGGCAGGGACCACCTCGGCCCTTGGCGGAAGGCAGCGGTCCAAGCGCGAACGGGGACAAGGTCGTGACACACCGCTCCATTGCAACCCTCGAAGGCGGCATTCTCAGCGAGAGATGTGCTCCAAACCCGCTCTGATCCGATATTCACATGTAATCATATACATATTTGTGTGTATACATGTATAATTCAGCTCCATGCCTCTCCTT